CTTAAGATTACAATGCCTCCTCTAGTGTTATTTATAATCTCTATGGGTAACGGACAATGCGCCCGAATGCGCCCTGGCATGACACCTTAACTTGCGGGCATGATATTTGAGCACGTGTTTATTGGGTTGCCTAGCAACGGATACGAAAATAGAACGTGAAATTCGAGCTTTTCAACGGTGTATCATGCAAGAAAATCGGTCAGAAACTCGCAAAGTTTTTCAAGTTTAAAATCTTAGTTTTCCAAAAATAATGAATAATGGCGATTCTGTTACAAAGAAAGATATTACAGCAAGTTTTAAAAGCAAGAAAAGAAGAGGTTTCTGAATCAACTACAACGAAAATTTGGCATGAAAGGAAAGCGAATGTATTGACGTTTTGGGGCCAAGTTTTTCTGTGAACCATGCGCGAGATTTTCAGCCAAAAAGATGAGGATTTCTCCAAACTTTATTAAAAATAGAAGTCGGAAATCACAAGAAAGATGAACACGGAACACAAGTGAGCAGATACGATTTTTAAAGGGTATTTTTGAGTAGAAATATGCGATCAAACACTCACAAAATTCGACTGCATTAATGTTGGTTGAATCTAGTTTAAAGTTATCTTTTTAGACGAACTGTTTATGCAAATTTGGGCACAATTTCGACTGTTTTCATAACCCCATTGTTGGTCTTCTTGTTCAAGTTGTTATTTTAGCTAAAGTATGTTTCAAACGACACCAGATTAAATTACTGTGTGCGTACGTGCCCTATTTGGCAAGAATACTTCGAGTATTAAATTACACTAAGTAAGTAGGGTACTCCAAAATCACTGTTATATCTATTTTCATCAATTTAGTCTTAAAATGACAACTCGTTTCAGACATATTGTGGTTTGAAATAAGTGTATTGAATTAATGCGCTTGCTTGCCGCGTGCGAATTCTCAAAAAGTCCGCACTTGAGTTCTAAAGCTTTTAAAATGCTTTTTGTATTGGGTTTTATATCCCCATAAAACTTTAAATCGATAGGGCAGATAGTAATGTTGATCCAACCTCATTTTCTAGTAACTACATGTTGAATCAGAAGGAAAAGTTATCAAAATTTGGTCGCGACGGTTGTTTGCCGTTGTTGTCGCTTCTCTCTGAAATGGCTTCCTTTGCGGGAAGCCATGAAACTGAAGTCCCAACAAAAACATAATTTAGCCGTCCTTTCGAGCCCATTGCTCGCTTATTTATCATGAAATCGTTTCACTAGAACATTTTTAATAATGTCTATGGGAAACTTTGTAGTTTTCTGAAGTAAAAGTTTATGGTTTTGAGGTGTTTAGTTTATAAAATAGCACGCGCGACAAAATGGCACTAATGTGGTTTCTCATGTCTGACAAACAACCAAAGATGAAAGTCCTTATTTCACCCTTTTATAGCTATGTTGAATACCTGAATATTAGGTTATCTTTTTCATTTGGGCATACAGATAACATTTATACACAATTAGTCCTAATGAAAGCTTATTTCAAACTAAAAAAAAGCGATTGTTTTTCAGAGCCAGACTTCAAAAGAGAACGCGTGTCTGACATTTTATAGCAGCCTACATTGGCGCGCAAAATAATTTTGGCTAAAAACCGTTTCTTTACAAACAGAAACATGAGAAAATTGAGCTAAAAGGCTTACCTGATGTATGTTTAAAATGTTTTTCTCTTTATGGTGTTTTTCAGTGCTTTGAGGAGAGAAGTGAATAACTTTTGGTTTTGTCACCGCAATTTGCCTTTGAAAATGTCGGCTGTCATTGTCTGTGTTAAAAACACCTCAGAAAATTCCTATTTTCTCACCTTCCCATCCTTGGTTTATATTGAAAACAAATAGATTCTAGTACCGTATGTCCTTTACTATATTTGAGGTAATTAAAAACTCCAAAGATGTACAAGCACTGTGTTTTGGCTTGCACATTTTGTTGAATTTGAACACTTAGTTACTGTTCTAAATTTCATGTTGTAAACATCTTGCCCAAAAAAGCAAAGGAGTATTTTTTATAATTTTTGATCATTTTCTAATTCATATCCCAATAGATGAAAATTGGTTATAATATAGATATGTACTAATTTAGTAAATAATTTTTTTTTTGTTTTTATATAAATATATGGAGATATTGCCCCTTTAGGTGATGAGTGACATGAAAAAAATAGTGTCACTGGTTTACAAATAAAAATTCTCATTGAAAAAACTAATGATATATATATAGGTATGCAAGTTCATTTAAACTAAATTTGGTCAATCATATATTAATAATATTTGGTTGAAAAGACCAGATTTATTCATGCAACTGTTTCTGAGATATTGCCATTTTGGTGAAAGCTCTTGAATTCAGTTAACCTGAGTATCAGGCCGTACTTTTTAGGGCACAGGCACGCCTGATCGTGGGCGAAAGGGAGAAAAGTACGGCCTGACACAAAAGTGGCATTTTGCCTGGTTGTTCAGTCCAGAATCTGGACTGAGCGCTGATTGGCCGATTAGACAAACGATTTTTAAAATCTGTCATTTGATTGGCTGGTGCTAATTAGATTATACTATTGTTGTTGATATATTTTATAACGATCACAATTCACAACTACAATTATAGCCGGCCCACTAAACGGCTGAATTTAAATTAAAACTGCAGTAAAATTAGAAAATAATCGAAAAAATTAGCGAAATATATTGCAAATGTAGCTTATATTAAATCGCCATCAGATTGCACTATCGACTGACGTATAGTTATAAAGTATACTTAATATATATACTTTATAATTATATACGTCACTGTTTGTTGATAAATACGGCAAGCGCCATAAAAGCTCATTGTAGTCACTGAAACCTCTGCGAAGGAGAAAGCAATCGGGTGGCGATTTAATATAAGCTACATTTGCAATATATTTCGCTAATTTGTGATTATTTTTGTTAGTTTTATAAGTTCATTGCAGTTTTAATTTAAATTCAGCCGTTTAGTGGGCGCCTATGCTATAATTAGATTGTTGTTGTCGTTGAGTGAAATTTAAATTTCTCCTGCGGCATTTTGATTGGATACTAAATATAAACTTTGCTGTGGGCGGAAAGCGATCAGGTTAAGTTTTGTGTCAGGCTCTATTTGTAAAATAGAGCCTGATACTCGGGTTAGAATTCAGTCACGTATTCGCCATATTGCTTGGACGTTAGGGGGGTAGAAACATTGTAACAGCTTGCGCGTTAATGAGTTAATACGATTTTCACTATTTTTGTAACTGCACATTTGCTTTAACAGTTTGTGCCTTCAAATAACTTTAAATCTATCCCCAAACTACAAATTAGACAACAAGACAAACGTTTTGACGATGAAAACGTAGTTTTAGCTGTGTTTATACTTTGTAGTTTGCACTCCTAGTCAAATTCAAACATGGCGGATTTATAAGGGCACGCATGAGAAAAAGTGGAGACCACTGAACCTCTCTCCTCCGCAGAGGCTTTAGTTTTCTTAGGATTTAATATTACAATGAGATACATTTCACTACACTTTACATGGCGGATCTTGGAACGGAGGAGAGAGCCACTGAACTATATAACATGGAAGGCTGACTCGAGCTCAAAAAGTGAAGCTATAGTATAGCTCAGTGAGTGAAGCCAACATGGCGGAATAAGGAACAGCCATTGAACTATAAATAACTGGAAGGCTAAGTCAGGGGGGGAAGTTGAAGCCGTGCTTGAAGCTTTTTTTGTAGGTAGACCCAGTCCTTTTTAAATTTTTTTTTCAAAATATGCACATTTTTCGATCAGAAAAATCTTGCCCCAAAATATTAGTTATACTACCAAATTTAATTTATATCAGTAGTATTATAAATGAATTTAATATTCGCAAAGCAAACAAATCACGAATTAGCAAAAAATACGAAAAAACACGGCCATAAGCATGAACGGTCAGAAAAACCGCGCGTTTTAGGCTGCTTTTTCTGAGTTTTTGGAAGTTTAAGATAAAACTAAGACGTCATACCTCAGGAATTATTTAAACCCATGCAAAATACATCTGTATGCGAAGTTTCAAGAAGATTGAACGTTTTAAGGTCGAAAAAAAAGCATTTGAAAATTGACAAAAATATTGCCATATTCAAAATGCTCATAGTGGCCAACAAGATGCCGATGACGAAAATAACATCACTTGAAAAACGCCAATTTATTTATGTTTAAAAGCGACTAAAACAAGGACTAAAAGCTCAGGATCAATAACAATACCTAGGGTTTAGTACAACATAAATTTTGGGACTGTCAAAATGTTTTATAGTATATATTTTTGAGTTGAACGGCGAGGTTTCCTTCGGCACGTCCAAACTTTCGTCATTTTTTCAAAATACAAAAGCAAAACTCCTTACTTTTTGCTGCAGAGAGATGTAAAACAGTTGGAACTAATCGGAAAACCTGGTTTAAATCCCAATCATTGTTGTATTCCCATGGAAAAAGTGTTTTTCTTGCAAATTTTTGCTCGAAAACAAACTTTGGGCAGAATTTTTTTCACTCCTCGAAACTCTCCTTAGTCTTTTTGAAAGCTGATTTTCCCGCGCGCCGGCTTCAACGAATCATAGACTTTCATCATAGGAGTTAGCCTTCCAGTTATTTTTAGAGTTCACTGGGAACCATTGAACTATAAATAAACTGGAAGGCTAACTCAGGGGGGGAAATTGAAGCCAGTGCATTTTAGTTTTTCTGAGTTATGAGCAGAAATACTCAACACTGAACGTTGGGCTATATATCAAATTGGAGCTATTGAAAAACTCTATTTGGTGTAGAAATTTCAAGACTTTAGCTAAGAGGGAAATATTGAAAAACTACAAACAAAATTACCGATAATTTGCCGTTTTGCAGTTGTTTTTGTATTTTTTAAAGATTTTTCTTTTCGCTGAAGTCTTGAAATTTCCACACCGAATAGCAATTTTCATTAGCTTCAATTTGATATATAGCCAGACGTTTGGGGTCAAGTATTTCTGCTCATAACTCAGAAAAACTATTTTGGCTTCATCAAATCATAGGCCTTCATCATAGCAGTTAGCCTTCCAGTTTATTTATAGTTCAATGCTGGGAACAGCTGGGCATTTTGTACGGAGCATGCGCGAAAAAATCAATATGGCGACATATATTTATAGGAGTGCTTCGTGTATTTATCTGGTTTTAAAGCTGATAAAACAACATTTTAATGAACAAAAACTTTGTAATATTTAGTGGAAAACATTAAGCTATGCAATCCAAAGGTTTTAAATTAAAAATAAGTACTTTTGCTTTATTTTATTGCTTTTTAATATGCTTTCAAAATAGGCAAGCTCATTTTTTTTGAAAGAATCTAAACTAATATTTTACCCATCGTTTGTTTAATCTGAACAGAAATTGATAGAACACTTGGCTACATAAGTTATAAAGGGAATTGGTAGCTGATCTGAAAGATTTCAGTATTCCTGGTACACATTTTAGCAAAGAATGACTGTAATTTTAAAAATCAAATATGCATATCAAAAACAATAGTTTTTATTAGAACAACACATAATAAGTTGTTATTTTCTATTTTTACAAAAACAAGTTTGGAAACAGAATCTAGTCGTCCAGTTTGATGTCATATTCAATTTATTTGGATATTTGAATAAAGGAATGTGAAATAATAATTGAAACTTGTCCAAAATTTGATACCAACATTCAAGTGAACAGATACTATCACCTAAAAATAAAATAAAACAGAACTTAAATTTGTCATATAATGCTATGAAAAAGTCTTAGATACTACAGGCATATAGTGAGCACAATGCTTTAACAAACTCACTAAAATAAGTTAAGTTATGCTATGATAAGAGGATGGCAATATATGACAACATCAAATGTTACCATCTTCAGTGTCCAAAAAAAGTGCCGCGCGCATTTTTCCCAGCATACCCACTAACTTTTCCATGAAGGTTGACTAATAAGGATAGTTTTAAGCCATATTTCGGAGAGAGGCAATGGTAAAAATTTTAAGATATTTTTATTTATATGCCATATCACCACAGAATTTCACAAAGCAAGCATGCCTATATTCAGGATTGCCGTTAGACTCTTAAAACTGAACAAATCAATGCGGCATTTCCTATCTCATAACAACCAATACTTGAACATTTTCAAAAGCATTTTTGCAGCAATTTTTACTTTATAACAAACCAATACAGGAGCAATTTCATAAGCATGTGACAACATGACATTTTCACTTCACAAGTGGATTTGTCAATTACAACATCTAGCACATTTTTCCCATGAATAGCTCAGGTTTTAATAAAACAAAGTATGATTTAACTTTCATAAAATATATTTTCTAACTGAAGGCAACGGCCAGTTTCTACGAAATTGCAAGAGGAATATGTGTCATTTTCATCAAAATATGTATTTTAAGACACTTATTATTCCAGATGAGGAAGGACAAACAAATTATTGAACATACCTGTGGAAACAACAACAACTCAGCTTCTATCAAGAGCAAAATATGAACACTTCCTTGTTTCCATACTGCTGTACCCTGCTTCTGAAACTCTGACAATGAGTGAAACATTTCCACTTGTCGCCCATTTGTAAATAAAAATTCTTCGCACGTTTTCATGCGATTAAGTCGTTATATCGTTGCGTACAAGCACTACAACTTAATCTTTCAAGAAACACTTTATTTTCCATGAACAAACCAGTAAAAGAGGACAAAAAATCCTCTCACAATGCATATTTTCAGCGTTCGAAGAATCAAAATGTTTGTTAAAGAAATGCGCCCGCAATATTTAGACAGCGACAACAGAATGCCCAGCTGTTTTTGACCAGCATTTACCAGGGCCTTCGCCCTCAGCAGGAGGCCCTGGGTACGAGGTTGGCCGTTGGTATGTGCAGTCAACCTGAGCGAGAGACTGGGCTGTCTGTTTAGTGGTATTAGAGAACTTTTATTGAAGTTTTGTGTTTTCTTAATAGTGTAAATTTCTAGTTATAATTTATGTGCGGGGTTTGCCTTGTTGGGACTTCGTGTCCGTTCGCCGATCCCATATCTAACTCGCCTTTGTTGTAATGTCTTTTGTTTCGTTCTCATTTAGCATTGTAAATTTCGCGAGTTCGATTAAAGCTTATTATTATTATTATTATTATTATTAATCCCAACCGGAAATACGACTGAAAACTGTCAAAACAATGCGAAGTTGGTATCGTATGACCCTGGAAAGGCCAGAAATGGTTCGCAAGGTGAAATTGCACCTACACGCGTGAGTTTGACGTCATTCCGGCTACAGGAGCTTCTTATTGGCCAATTATTGCGCAATGTACGCAAGTGCGAGTAAAACCCGACATCTTGAAAAATTCAAAATAAATATTTCTACTTGCCGTATTCAAACGAAATTTGTACACGGAAGCACTTGGATACAAAGAGTATTTTACACATATAGCCGTTCAGCAAATGACGAAATATTCAAGAGATATTCAAGATCTTGTGTATATGAAATTTAGAATCTTTGGCCAAGCGGTGAGTAAATATATGATTGTTTCGGTTTGTGTTATGTTCTGACGGCACTTGACCCCCCGTTTGAAAGGTTATTTTGTGAGGATTACAATGGTGGCTTCTATTTAAATACTCGCCGAGATATTTATATAAAATTGTGTCGTAATATGATGCGAAAGGGGGCGGATGAAAAAGAGTTGCACCACAACAACAAAAAAAGTAAATATATTTGTATATCGCAGACTGCATGCACGAGCGTATCTTAAATTATGCAACAACGTACTCAGGGATCGGATGATAGGATATTGTTGAACCGGAGCTAACTGTTGCTGTTTCTTGCACGATTGTATGCGTGCGGCACTTGCCTAATGCGTATATAGTAGTCGTCAAAGAGAAAAAAGTGTTTCACCCTTGCCAACGGGCAATTTATAAATTTTCCTTGCCAACGGGAAATTTATAAATCGCCTGCTCGACCGGGAATTTAAAACCATTTTCCATTGCAGTCTCTTTTCGCGGGCGGAGCGAATATTACTCAACTTTCTCTCTAGTTGTCTAACCTGTGCATTTTTTGTCTACCAGACTGCTCGCGGACACGCCATGAAAGTAGAACTACATTCAACTTTCTTGGCATGCCCGCGCGACTGATTTTTCACGTGATTAAAATTGGTCGCTCCATGCTCCCGCTCGGAATAATAGAATCCAGTCCAATCATGATATTACTAGTCTAAAATAGCCTATTGCTTTGTGTAGTTAGAAAAGAGCACGGTGACCCGTGCAGTATTTCACTTTTATATAATAACGTTAACAACTCAACCGTAACCTGAGTATCAGGCTCTATTTTACAAATAGAGCCTGACACAAAACTTAACCTGATCGCTTTCCACCCACAGCAAAGTTTATATTTAGTATCCAATCAAAATGTCGCAGGAGAAATTTAAATTTCATACAACGACAACAACAATCTAATTATAGCATATGTAGCCCACTAAACGGCTGAATTTAAATTAAAACTGCAATAAACTTATAAAATTAACAAAAATAATCACAAATTAGCAAAACATATTGCAAATGTAGCTTATATTAAATCGCCACCCGATTGCTCTCTCCTCCGCAGAGGTTTCAGTGACTACAATGAGCTTTTGTACATGGGCGCTTATACCGTATTTATCAACAAACTGACATATAATTATAAAGTATATATATATTAAGTATACTTTATAACTATACGTCAGTTAGTCGATAGTACAATCTGCATGATGGCGATTTAATATAAGCTACATTTGCAATATATTTCGCTAATTTGCGATTATTTTCTAATTTTACTGCAGTTTTAATTTAAATTCAGCCGTTTAGTGGGCCGGCTATAATTGTAGTTGTGATCGTTATAAAATATATCAACAACAATAGTATAATCTAATTAACACCAGCCAATCAAATGACAGATTTAAAAAATCGTTTGTCTAATCGGCCAATCAGACGAAAAAGCCAGAATCTGGCTTTTTACATGCGCCGCGGTAAAGAATTGTATCAGGCCCTCCTTCATTCGCCGCCGCCAATTCTGGCGAATGAAAACATAAGGGCACAAAATAGAAATAGGCAGAAGCTTCACTCGAGTCGGAACCTTTGAAGTTTTTGTATCATGAGTTTTGCTTGGATACATAAAAAGCTAGAGCACTTTTAGTGGCTCTATTTCGTATTCCGCCATATTAACTCCTATAAAATTTCCTCTGGTTTGGTTGCTTTCAACATGGCGGCCACGCCGGAAGTCGGCTGACATTCTGGCACACTTTTTACCCTTGAGTGAACCTTCTGCTCTATATCTATTCTGTGATAAGGGCCTGATACTCAGGTTATCGCGAATCATGATCTGTTAGCTAGAGGACAGACGCACGGAATTACGTCACAGTTTAGGTAGCCAATATCATTCCCTTATTTGTATAAATTATGTACGCGTGATATTTGTAAAATATCGACTTTTTCAAATTGCCAAATGTGTGCGTGGATAAAAAGTAAGGGATTTACCTGTTTAATTCGGGGGGTTTTATTATATAAAACAAATAGATGAACCACTTGCCTCGGCGGCTCGTGTGCTACTTTTTTGTTCTTTCCTCATTATGACGTCATACTGTGTATCTATAAATGGTCAGACAACGGCAAAATCTTATCTATTTGTTAAACAATATAGACTAACAATAAGCAAATTATAGAACAATTCTGTAATGCCATACTTTCGGCAATTGACATGTGACGCTTTGTAAAACACGTACAATGGCGCGAGATGGCGTGAGCAAGTCGCCTGGTCAGGTCGTATATGTCATTTCGTTAATATTAAATTAAAGAGGTTCAGATATGACTTCCACTACTGCTACTGCTACTACATCCTCGTACCCAGGGTCTATATTGGAAAGTCCCTGCGACGGAGGTTGCTACTAATGCTACTACTACCATTAAGGGATTATTAACCAATCAGATGCGTTTGACATATCCGATTAACCAATCTGGCATGAAATAAGAAAATTTCGTGGTTGAAGAAGATTATTATTGCTGCTTGAAAAGTATGCAGTTTCGCTGAATTACGAACCGCGACTTCGCTATGTCAACCGGCAAAGTGAGATCGTGTAAACAGCCCCATAAAATTACTATGCTTTCTTCTAGAAAGTGGCGACAATGAAAGGTTAATTAGCCTTACGTAAAAAGCCAAAATCCGTCATATTGGGGTACTGTCTGCCCTCGTCAAAAATTTTACACAATTCAAACAACTTGGAAAGCGACTTTTTAAATTTGTTACTGTAAATTTACCATTATATAAATAATTATAACAATAAAGAGTCGCGTTTCGTGGTGTGGAGACTCTCAAACGTAGGAGAGGCAGTACCCCCAAAATGGCGGGAAAATCGGCCATGAGAAAAGCCAATTTAACATACCACAAGTCCACAACAAATACAAAATTAGACAAAATTCAAAAAATGAATGCGCATCTTGTTATTCTTGCATGTGCAGTATTATCGATGTTAAAGATCGATAAAAACAAGACATTTATTTTGTATTTTTTAAAGCTGTCTGTTTGGCACGGTAAGTGAATATGTGACTATACCACAGAATAAGGCACACAGAAGGTCGACTCGACTTCACTTGAGTAACCACTGCCACGCCATGATTCATCATCAAAATACTGACGCCATAGTCCTAGCCAGTGCGGGTTTGAGAGGCATTCCCCCCCTGGACGTCCGCCATTTTGAATATTATCAAGGGGTGAATGCCTCTAAAATGCGCACTGGCTAGGACCATGGCGTCAGCATTTGATGACGAATTACGGGTTACGCCAAAATCATAGGAGAATCATAGGAAAAACAAAGAAGTCGGTCTTCTGTGTACCTTATTCTGTGACTATACCGTACATCAGCGATCGTTTGCACGTCTAAGGATAAACTCTAAAATGGTCATTGAGTTGGTGGTATGCCCATGAAACACCTGTAAACGGGAACGTTCTTTAAATACAATAGTCAAATTATTATGGATATCGCTCGTCCACTGGGCTATGCAAAGCATTGCGATATATAATACAGCCCAGCCCCAAAGCACTTTTTATCTTTTCCCAGATGAAATAGCGGGTGTCCAGCAAGCTACTGTCCAGTTTATTGAAGACGCTGCTGCTAATGACGACGAAGACTTTCATTACGTTTTAGTACCGTTCAACGATCCAGGTGAGCCGTATTAGAGTTATACACTAAAAAATACATGCATGCAGAAACCTCGCCTTGCTGACAAAACCATTGTATTTTCCGAACATAAAGTATTTAATTAAAGTAGTTGTCATGGTAACACGATAATTGCTGACGCAGCGAGCGAGCCTGAAGCGAGCGAGCAAGTCAGCAGTTCTAATTTGTATTGCACTGAAAGTAAGATTTTACTTCCGTTTCTCCGACCAGAATGCACTGCTGTTAACCAACCAGGATGCTTTGCATGCATGATGCTATAAATACGGGGAATCTCATTAGTCAGTTTATATCAGCCAGTAACGATGCGGCTGTTTTAGTGTATTTTGTATTCATTATATGGTCTGTTGATTCCTAGCTGGTTTTACACTATACAGGGTGTCCCCCAAAAAGCGAAAACTATATTGAAATAAATGTATTGTTACAATTTGAATGCCTCAGCACTCTGCTGAACCTGCACGTGCATTAAAACTAGACGTAAGTAAATTTTATGCATAAAGAAACCGTTTTTAAAAGAAGCTGTTTTAAATTCCCAAGAGCAGAAAATCGTGTGCTTTGGACAGATATTTTAATTTCTTAATAAGTCAATATTTAATATTTGCACCCTGTCAATATTTTACGCATCTTTGCGTTCAGTTTAGTGCTAGCTAGGACATTCAAATTTTAACAATACCAGGGCACCCATGCCATCAGCCATACCTCGGCAATTCAGACATCTTTGGGTTGCGAATATATATGGTCAACATCTGGATGAGCTTTGACGAATTTTATCACGTCGAACACTTCGCGCACGCGACCGGTTAGCAGCATACATGCGTCTATGTACCTGCTTTTAAAGAAAGTTTAGTTATTTGAAATCCTTGCTAAAAGTGAATAAAATGTACATAAAGAACTTGACGTAACGTGGACACGTATGCAAGATGCTTACTTACTGCCATCTAATGTGCTCGTATACTTTCGATATGTATGTGTCGTCATTCATGACCCAACCCGTCTGTGTCGAAATTATTTCAAGACATCGTCAAGCGATGAAAGCAGTTCTTTCTTCCCCTCTTCCCCTCGTCTCTTTTGATATTTTTGGGATGGCTCTGCCTCATCGTGTGTTGGACTTGGAGGATTACAAGATTCCAATTGACAGCGGTTATTCTCCTCGTCTGACGACGCTGATGAGGATGATGGCAATTGAAAGCGTCGGCGACTGAGGTCTCTCAGCACTGCATTCCGTTCCTGCTCTCCATCCCGCACAAAAGAGCATCTGCTGGGATCGACCTCGAGACATTTGGTTCTTCTTCCATTTCGCTGAGATCTTGAGAACTGATGTTTCTCACAGCCGTCGAGTCGAATATGGATCTAATAATGAAGGGAACTTTTTATAATTAATAGATTATCATTTATTACCCGTGACGCATATGGAAAGCACCATAGTTTGTTTGTGGGCAGAGAAATGCAGCTGATAATGTTAAGAGCTTTAGAGCTTACCGTGCTATGTTGTTATCATCTATGACCTATGGTGCGCCGTCGGTGTTCTCGTACCAGCGCACCTCGCGTGGACAACCCAAGAATCAGCTGTGAAAGCAATGGAAGATTAATGTATTGACGAGATTCGCAATTGGATGGCGGCCAACCGTCTTTTTATTCAAAGTATACTAAGGCGAAGTTTATTACCATTGGCTCTCGTTAACAATATTTAAGGTATCAATTGACGAATTGTGATTTGAGGGTTGGTGAGGTGCATGCATGGCAATTTCCCCGGTAAACGTTGTTCGTAACCTTGGGTCATGGTTTGATATACATGCATGTCCACGAGCACAAATGTTGGCAAAGTCGGCAGCAACTTCATATCGATTATTGTGACTTGTTGCTGTATTAATAGAATTTCGAAATATCAATGGACAACTTGCATGTTAGACTAAATTTTAACTGATCTAAGGTAAAGAGAAGGGAATCAAACACAACAGTTAAAAAGAACGTAATGAAATTAGTAAAAATTGCAAAATTTGGGTACGAAATGTTGTAAAATACAGAAAATATAGTCTTGCGAATTTGCATATTTTCAGTATATATTTGTATAACGTGCGGAAGTTGTCATCATTTTCGGCTCAAAAATGGTAACAATTCCGCACGTAATGCAAACATACTGAAAATAGGCAAACTTCGCAAGGCTATATTTTACAACATTTCGTACCCAAATTTTGCAATTTTACTGATTTTAATAAGTTCTTTACGGGAATTTACTTTTTTTGCCTAAATCAAAAATTAGTCTGACATGCAAGTTGTCTATTAGATCGGTTGCAGAAAGTTCTAAATGCTGCTGCTTGTGTTGTATGTCTCACACCTAAATTTGATCACATTACCCCAACATTAAATTAATGAAACTGCATTGGTTACCGGTGAAACATCGTGTCATATTTAAGATTCTATTACTAGTCTATAAAGCCCTTTATAGTTTAGCTCCTAAATATATTTGTGACATGTTAACATTTAAACAATGTAATCACCATTCGCTGTGATCAGACAAGCAAGAACTGGTTCATGTTCCAACTATACGTCTTTTGGTGATCGTGCCTTTATGAAAGGAGGACCCGCTCTTTTGAATTTAATATTGTATGAAATTCGGCTTTCATCTTCTTTGAATTCATAGTTTAAAGAAAAAGAGCAGAGCCCAGCAAATAACTTTAAATCCAAACATAATAAAAGTAAAAAAAATATTAGCTATAACGTTTCGTTGTTTACAATACAACATCTTCAGAGCAATAATGTATAATGTAATTTTTAACTTAACTTAGTTTTTTGTAACTGCATATATTTTATACGCTTTAGAATATTCTGTATATAGTTTTAGCGCTATATAAATTCTTACTAAATTAAAATTAAATTAAATTAATATAGTATTGAACGGCATAGTTGGAAAAGACAAACAAAAAAATATTTATTAATTAGCAGTGATGAATATTTGTGTCACACAAAATAATCATAGAATACACTGATATCGAAGAAACTAGACTCAGCGTTCCGAAATACCATCAACTCGAACCGACTTTACCACGTAGCTCAGTTGGCAGAGCATTGGACTAGTATCCCAAAGGTCGCGGGTTCGATTCCCACCGTGGCCAAGCAAACTTTTTAGCTTGCCCGGTGTAGATGCATACTCAGAGTCAGCATCACAAACATCATATTCACCTGAGTACATAACACCAACACACAAAAATGATCAAATATACGAGGTGTTTCCACAAACAAAAGTATTAAAAAAAATATCGAATTGAAGCCAAGGCGGGATATTAGGGGGCATAAAAATAGACGTCGTATGAACACAGAAGTAATTAGGGCCGTGGCGAAGAGGCTAAAGAAGGGGGCGCTGCAGGCCCGTAGCTGAGGGGGGGGGGGCTGGGGGGCAGTGTCCCGTAGAAGATTAATACTTGAGGCTCATAGTCATACTCAATTTTTGTATGAAAATAGATTGCTTGTGGCCTAAAATAAATAACCTAATAGGCGTAGAGTAGGGGGGGGGGCTTTGGAGCTCGAGCCCCTCCAGAAATCTTACACCGGGGGCTTAGCCCCTGCAGACGTTTGCGGAACTAATAGCTGTCAATGTTGTTATTTTTTTTTTTGGGGGGGGCTAAGTACCAAAATTTGGTATGAAAAACTGAGATAAAGTACCTGGAAAGCAATTGCAACGTACTCGTCCGGACAATTTTTTTACCTAAAAAGTTGTCGACGGGGAGGGGAGGGGGGGGTCGAGTCAGAATCATCCCAACCCCTCTGTTACATTCTTTCTGCAGTGCTCCCCCCAGAAATTGAGAGCCAGCTACGGGCTTGGGGGGCTGTAGTATCACATTTACCGACAAAATTAACATTTCAGTCGTTATTCATATTTTCCCCCAAAATTGTTGGCGAGGGGGGAGGGTCAAAATTTTTCCTGGACATACCGTTTTTCACAAACTTCCCCATTAATGTATCGTCATTTTTTAACTTTTTTTTCGTAATTTTCGTAAATTTAGCGAATTTTTTGTTATAGCTATTACTTGATATTCCGAGTCACTCAAATATTTTCGCTGACTACGAAACCAAATTGCCGCCAAATCCGAAAACAATTTGCCGGGTCAAGCAAATATTTGATGAATGGGGAGGGGTTACACACCTCCTCTAGCTACGCCCCTGGAAGTAAGTCATCCCAGTCTACATGTTGCAATTCCCACCAAACGGCGAAACCAGGCTGGTTGGCATGTTTCCCTGTCTTTCTTAAAACGTTTTCCCGCTTTATATCTTATAGATGTTGGTCCAGTATTAACAACAGATGATCCTGAAGTAGCAAAACAAACAGTGAACTCCCTCAGAGCACACGATGGTGGTGATTGCGCAGAATTGGGCATGAGTGGTCTTTATTTAGCTCTTCTTAACAGTCTACCTAACTCTGATGTATATCACTTTACTGATGCTGCCGCCAAAGATGCCCATCTAGTATTCTCTGTGATATCAATCGCATTGCAAAGAAACTGTAGAATTTATCTTTTTATCAGTGGCCACTGCGGTAGTCGTAGGCGAAGAAGCTTAACAGAGCGAGAGGTGTATGAAAAACTAGCCAGTGCAACCGGAGGACAGCTCATAGAATATTCAAAGTCTAATATTGATGAAGCTATCAAGCTTATTCGCCCCGCAAATATTTCTGCCGAAGGAAATTCGTCGTTGTCAGAAGAAGTCTCGTTGCTGTCTGTTGAAGTTAATGCTAACAACGTAACTACGAAATCCTACAATGTTCAAAGTGATTCTACCATTACTTCAATTACAGCTGTATTAAGTGCTGGAGGAAGTACCAATATCAAAGTAGTTCCACCTCAAGGTACAGTGATACCTAAACACCAGGAAACCAGCACCAACAGAAAGATAGAGATAGCCAGAAATACACATAGGCATGCAGACGAACAAACACCACTAACATGTGTCAACATTCAACAAAACGAATACAACCAAACGCAAGGACTGGGACAGACAAATTACACTATTGTAGGCGGAATGAAATATAGACAATCAGATTAACAGATTAGACAGCATTCGGACGGCGGGGGTCATTCTAAGAAAAATTTAGTACAGCATAATTATTTCGACAAGGACAAACTGTGAGGTGTGAGGTATAGTGAACATATAGGCTAACAGTGTGGCGCATATTAGATACTTAAGTTAAGATAAGATAAGATAAGAAACTTTATTTATGTGTCAAAACATTTTAGCGTTTGGCACGCTAATTGGGGGGACACAGATTAAGCCTACTGTTATACAAAAAGTATACTTATACGACTAGCTATGAGTAGATAAATTTACAATACTAATACTAATCCTTAATTACTACATAGATAGCAGTTACTACAACCACTATCCTCTAAAAAACTAAAGTCAACTTTCCTAATTTCACTCTTGAAAACGTTCAAAGTACTGATGTTCCTAACTTCTTTACTTAACTTTGACCATAAAAAAGGTCCTAAGTATCTAATTGAGTATTTTCCATATTTTACCGTATTAAAACGCGGTATTCTGAAATCAGAATTTCTTAGATTATATGTCGTAGTCTTATCATTAGTACAAAATAAATTGATTAAATTCTGAATATATGAGGGAGCAAGATTATTTTTAATTTTAAACATTAGTATGGCAATATCTTGTACACGTCTGTGATATAGCGTGGGAAGATTTGCTTTTGCGAGTAGTTCTTCATACGTAAGTGTTTTGAAGTTGAAAACTGCACGCTCTTGTACTCTTTCCAACTCTTGTCTATCCGATGCTCGACAAAAATGCCATACTAAATGGCAATATGTCAGATGCGGTAATACAACTGTCTTGTTGATGATTAATTTTCCTCTTCGGGAATAAGATTTCTTAGACGCATCAACACTCCAACTTTTCTGCTTGTTCTTTTGCATATTTCGCTAATATGACATCTAAAATCAAGTTGGTCGTCTACATCCACACCAAGTAGCTTTAATGATGTAGACTGTTCAATAATTTATCGTTTATGTTAATATTCATTGTTCTCTCATTCTCATTCTTTCGACCAAGGACCATAGTTTGAAACTTTTCTAAATTTAAATTAAACATAAGAAATTTTCTTCATACCACCTGGTTGTAATATTAACATCGTTTTCCAATTTCGCTTCAACCTCTTTAACAGTGCTTCCACTTCCATATAATTGGTGGTCGTCCACATACGTAGATAACTCAGAACCACATATGGTATAAGTAAGATCGTTTTGAAAAATATTCCATAACAACGGACCGAAATTTGAACCCTGAGGACATCCCCTCTCTAAAAGTTTCCACGTACTTGTTACTGACCCAATTTTGACACGATTCATTCTACTGTTGAAGTACGAGCGTAGTAATTTTAACGAACTCTCCGAAAAATTGTAAGCTTCTAATTTCTTAACAATAAGAGGTGGATAAAGTGAATCAAATGCCTTACTCATATCTGTCGAAACATAGTTGTCTCGCAGCTGTGGCCTTTGCGATAGGCAGTCATATTATCGCTTAATTTGTTTTCAATAAATCCATTTGTTTGCATACTTAACAATTTTTCATAGACTTTGTCTACGCTCGACATGACTGTTATCGCTCTGTAATTCCCATCTTTCATTCTATCGTCTTTCTTGTAAATTGGTATCCATTCACCGCGCTTCCACTTTACCGGCCACACACCATCTTTTATACTCATGTTAAATAGTTTTGTCAGTGATGGAGATATTTCCCTGGCACATGACTTCAATACATACGGGTGAAGATTGTCAAATCCTGCTGCTTTTCGTGGGTTTAGGTTTTTCAGTATGTCTTCTACTTCATCTGTGGTTGGTTACTTCTCTAAAATTGAACGATTCAACGTTTTCATCGTCCATCTTACATTTTATTGTTTGAATGCTTGGATGATCTATAAAATCATGTTCAGTAAGACTGCTCACATTATCTCCACCAATTCCATCTGCAATCGTGGCAAAGTAATTAGCTAGGTGTTCTGCAACCTTCTGTTGATCTCCTTCTGGTTTACCGGCTATATTCAGAGATATGCCTTCTCTACATTTTCCTTTTCCTTATTTCTCAAGAAAAGGCATGAAAGTTTTATAAAATTGTCTAGGATTTGATTTCATTTGACTGGCGACTTGCTTCCAATAGTTCTTAATTGCTTTGCGTCTTTCTTTTGTAGCTTTATTCCTCCATTGTTTCATTAATTCAAAATTTTCCTGAGTTTTTTTTTTTACTGTATCGTTTAGCATACCTGCTCTTTGCCCTCATCGCTTTCTTCCAGTTGGTGGTCCTATATGGTACGTCTCTTGATCGAACTTTCATCCTTTTAACAGGGGCACATTCCTCTAGAATACTGTTTAATTGTGTGTTCCAGCACTCGTACTTTTTGTCTATTGTATCAAAAATATCTGCTATATGCCAAGGTACCAATTGGAGATCCTTTTTTAGCTTTTCTTCGTTCACATTCTTAAAGCTTCTAAATGACACAATTTTGTATGTATAATGAATTGCTCTGAGAGACATAACACCGTACACCATCGCATGGTCACTTATCTGTGGATCAAACACATCACATTCCGTGAAAAGTTAGGTTTGTTGGTAATGATAACATCTAATAACGTTTCACTGTTTCTCGCCACTCTTGTTAGTGGTTTCTTTACTAAGCATTCGAGACCATGCACTTCTTCTAAGTCACACAGTATTTTCCCTTCTCTGCTTTCAGGTTTTAAAAGATCTAAATTCAAATCTCCTGTGATTATAATAAACTGTTTTTCCAGAGAACTCCAATGACAAATTTCATTCAATTCCTCTTCTTCTTCTCCTTTTCCTCTAATAGCTAGGAGAGTCCTGGGGTATGCTTCTCCTGGAAAATTTTGAATTTTTGTAGTCCAGAAAGGCCGTTATATTTCCTGCGTTTTCGCAGTGACATTTGGTTCTTTTTTTGCCTTAAATTTCTTTATGCATAGGCGCTTAATTTATAACTAATTTCAGGGCCGCCGGAACTGGAGGGGGGGGGGGCAGGCGGGGCAGCCGCCGCGTTGCCCTTTACCAGGAGGGCAAGGGGGGGGCAAAGGTGCCCTTTCAATTTAAAGGATTGCCTTGGCGAAATAGGGGATTTTCAGAAATGTTAGAGCAATTCTTTTATGAATTTGCTTCAGAAAACGCAAGAAATACAGTCATCGAGCTTCCAGAATAGCACAATCGCCTGGCGGAGAACCCCCTCACTCCCCTATCATCCAATAAATAGAAAAGATAATTAGGCGAAGTTCAACTACCGATGTTTTGCAAACATCTCTTAGTATATACCAATTCAAAAGTGCCCTTTCGCGAAAATCGCTCCGGCGTCCCTCACTAATTTTCATTAAGAGCCCGATTTTATTTATAAGCTCAATTTTAGAACTGCTCATTTTAAGTTTTAGAACTACCCGTTTTGGAAAATGGGACACCTTAGGATAACTCGTGTCGGACGGGAAATCAATAGACATCTCAACAACACCTGTCAAGCTAAAATAATAGATACCAAACTTTATCTGTTGCATGTTATGTTTTAGACGGCAACGGAACAATAAATACAATCTCACAAACAGCGACTTTTTATTCTGTTCGTGTTATCATGCCTACAGCTGGTGTATGGAAATTTACCATAACTGCAACTGGACCATTTACACTTCAAGTTAAAGCACAAAGCACTTTGGCTTTTACAACATCTCTTGAGAAGGAAGAATATTCTAGCACTTTTCAGAAGTTCCTTGTTCCAATATCAGGCAACCCAATTAAAGGTAGGAGCTTTTAAATTTTTAATTGCATTATAATAAGTAATTGATATATCCAAACAACTTATGAAGATAACTGAAAAGTAACACATACGAAACCAACACAAAACAATATATCTTGTGTGCGTGTTTTTAATGTTTTTCAAAGATAGAAGCACTAAAAATATTTTTGAGCGACACAATTGAGGTCTCCCAAAGGGAAAAGGTCTGCATGTGCTCCGTATATTCACTTGAAAGTTTTCCTTCGTTTCCTTGTTCCAAAAAAAAGCTTCACCATGATGCCTTGTTCTCTCTAATGTTTCGGTTTAATTTGATTCTGTGCTCTTATTGCAAAATATCGCCTGTTCTCTAAGTACCCCTATAGGAGACCCTCAAAAGTGCATAGAATAACATTATACATGCCAGGGCCGTACGCAAATCCGTACGCAGGATTTTTTCCCTAGGGGACAATAAGACCTATATGCCGGAAAAAGTCCCAAATATCCAAAGGATAATTAATAATGACATATGATTCTAAAAATCGTAAATATAGTCTTCTCTGGAGGGGCAGTTGCCCCTTGTCCCTCGCTGTGTACGGCCCTGATACATGCCCTCGAGGATTTAAAAAGTTACTAAGAATCGCAGGGAATATTATACAGGTCGAATAAAAAAGTAATTCAACTTTGACATGTTATCGTATGTTAATAATTACGTTTATAGGTTTTCTGTTTTTGTATTTATAAAGATCAGGGGCCAGTTGTTCAAAGTTAGGTTAGCTTAACCCTAAGTTAACCTAATATTCAAAGCAAACTTCCTGACAGCTTGTCCACAAATTTGGAAATATTTCTTCAGAGATCTTGTCTGGGTCGATAGGAGTTCACTTCTCTGACGTTTTGAGATAAACAAACGTGCAGAACTACGCAAACCAAAACAGGGGGTTAAATTTTAACCAAGGGTTAGCGCTAACCCACCTTTGAACAACCGGCTCCAGGCTTTTAACTGCCAAATGACACCTTTATGGAATCATTGCGATAAAAAAGATCACTAATACGATCTGGATTAAAGTGGTCGCGATCGGTTGAAATTGCATTTTTTACTTTAAAGATTTAATGTTCTTCCAATTTTGGGTCATATATTTGCTCAAAATACTTGTTAATTCCTTATTTTGGAAACGTATGGCATTGCGAGTTTAGTTTGCAAACTTCCAGTTCTGTAAAATGTCCCAATGATACAAGAAAAGTATCATTCGACGGCTAAAAACCTGATCTTTATTGGTATGAAAAAAGTAAGTAAATGGATGAATGCAATATCTAATGAATGATCACCAATTGCACGACTTGCATGCCGGTGTAATTATTTATTTATTGTATACAGGCCTATACATGACAAATTATAGCTATTGGATCCCCTCCCCTCGGTATTGATGTCACGTGAATTCAAAGAACAAATGCATAATTTGACGCATTTAACAGTTGAAACATGCAAACTATGTGCAAGAAATAACTATAAACGTCTTACTTAATTTAAGATTTATTTAAATTCAAATACTTATTCGAATTGTCCAAGCGAATCTGCGATATAAACCGAATCGCACGTTCTTGATGCGTCAACATCAATTGTTCAAGTTCAAAAATATTAAATGTTCAGCAAGAGAGTTATAGGTCAATGTTTTTTTTTGTATATTTTAATTTTCTACTTTTGTTTTAATGTTTTAATTGAACTGCACATGACATGAATTTTTTGGCCTTAATTTTATTGCTTTACTAGAAAGTACCCCTGAAATGATGGAGAATGGTGGTTGCAGTTTTCTCCCATCTCATCTCAATCCAGAGTCATTACTGTTTTTGTAATTTGAGCTATGACGTCATAAGTTGTGCTAAAGTTTGGAAGAAAAACTGAAAGTGGAATATTTTCAAGAGGATTTGAGCAAATGAAATCAGTGAAACTTTGCACAGTTGTTGAGTGCAGTCACACATATATTTTGTGTGGTTGTCAAGCAACGCACTAGTTTTCCTCGCATCAAGTCACACGGTTCCTGCTGTATACAGCTAAGAAAAGCGCTTGTTTCACACTTTTAATTTGACAAGTACTAAAATGTTCCCCATGAAGAACATAAACAATGAAAACAACAGAAATAGCCATTTGTGTTGTTGGAAATATAAAACTAAGTTTATGCAAGAAAGAGGAAACTAGGGTGTTGCCTTGACAACCACGTCAACATACTAAGCTGTATGTGCGACTGCACTCAACAACTGTGCAAAGTTTGATTTCATTTGATTTGAATCATCTTGGAGATATTCCACTTCAAGTTTTTCTTGCAACTTAGCACAGCTTATGACATCATAGCTCAAATTACAAAAACTGTAATAACTCTGGATTGAGATGAGATATAAAAAAACAGTAATCATAATTCTTCATCACTTGAAGGGTACTTTCTAGTAAAGCAGTAAAATGAAGGGAAAAAGTTCATGTCATGTGCACTTTAACTCTTTACGTATGTGAATTGTAGGCTCGTTTGTATTTACAAAGCGAAGCGCCATTTTGTTTTGTTTTTCAAATAATTAATTGCACTCGTCTTAAACCAATTACATTGCAGTAATTGTAATAAAATAATATATATAGTAAGTACTGTGTCAGGCAAACAATTATGAAATTATCATTAAATTGAAGTACCAACAATCTTAAAGTGTTTGGGAGTACATTTTTTTTCTCTATCCGACCGCCCCTCATTAAATTTTTTTGACCAATTGTGCAGGAACGTCGCTATACGTGACAGTAGAACCAACAGAAGATGCATTACAAGCCAACAGAAACATCATGGGTTACTTAATAGATACGGCGGGAAATCGTTTGGAAAGTTTCGAATTAGAGCAAGGACAGGAGTTCTATAGTAACTCGTATTTTGGCTTGGTTAAATTGAACCACGATGCATTTAAAATAATGTATTTTGGCTACAGTAAAAATGGAGAAACCATCCAGCGTCTGCTATCTCGAGTGATCAGACCCCAAGAATTTGAGGTTGAAATATCTGTACAGAACAACAGTTTGAGTTTAACACCAAACGAAACAACGTCGATTATTGTACTTCTCAAAAACCACGGTTCGAATACCACCTTCTCAATTCTGGTGTCCGATGATAAATCATTTGTTGCTTCATTTTCACCCAAGATTGTCACTGTGAGAAGCAATGATTCAGTCGATATTCACATTGATTTTTTTGCTCCTGCTAATACAAATGATAGTACGACTACATCAGTGTCAGTTTCGGCCTCAATCCAGTCTGCATCTACAGTTGATCTTGCAAATTTCCTCTCGTTTGAAGTTTCAGTTTTTTCAAAGGTACTTTATTTTATATCTTTTGAACCACCATAAATGTTGTCCTATTTTTAACATTTTTGTGTATATTTACACCTAACTTCCTTTAATTTTTTTAAATAAAGTCGTCTAGGTCCTTGACTCGTCATATATTTCAAACAAGGAGTGGATAATTTTTAACCGAGAATATTTAGGAGAAGAGGGACTTTTAAATCTGTCTTCGCTTGCCAAACTTCTTCTAAGAGTTTTTCAATGAGACTTAAGGGGGCGATATGGTGTTCCATCATTAATTATACACAGGCAAATTTATTCCTTCGGATATTATACGGATAAAACAACCAGCCGGCATGAAAAATATAAGAAGAAGTTCAACGTTTTCTGGCCAAGTATAGCACATGGGCACGCGCGTTACATTTTTCAAAATGAAAGCTAGCTAGGGTGGGGGGCGATCGCTCACCCCTTCTAGTTCCAGCCACTGGACTGTAAAGTTGCAGTGGTCACATCAATAACAATAATTCCTAGATTTGAGATCAGTGACAGTATTGGCCAGTCTGTATCCTCTTTTACGTCATTGTGACATATATGGCACGCTTAATATCGTTTTAATACTTACCAATATTTTTGTATTTACAGAAGTTTCGATTTATAAACGAGACTGAGGTTACTTCAAAACTTGATCTATCAAGTTTTCTTACTCCTTCTGACGATGATAGTGATGATGAATCAGGTAATATATGTGCATGTAGAAGCATAAATATAGAAATAATGCATGATAAAGAAAACGCAAGGATCCTGAAAAAACATACGTATACAGATCAAAACCAAAAACTTAGGAATAGGAAACGATAAGAATAAAAATAGGTACTAAGCATATCTGTAGGCAGCTGTGCAAAGGCATATTCCCTATTGATACAATTCACAAATTTTGACTAAAAGATATGAATAAAATAATGCATCCTGAGTGAATCAAAATATTGAGTAAAGTTACAAAATTATGAGCAAATGTACTCTATTTTTTGTATAACAACAGTTGATTGCATTGTCCCTGTCCTGAGATTTTGATGTGAAATTAATAACACGGTCTATATATTGTTCCCTGACATGATAAGAATCACGTCAAGTATTCGCCATTACAATCAATCATATTCATAGCTGGTACCGGGAGGCCAGAAAAAACCTTCCACCTCTTGGCAGGAAATCTGGTCGGGACCAAGGCGCCAGCTAGCTGCCCACACAGCAAAATTATAAAGTTGTAAAACTTGAAGCATAGAAACTGTTTCTTTAAGTAGATCCAAGTTTGAGCTGTCAACTGCACTGTCCGAGATACTTCTCTTGAACAGCAACGCTCTTTTATACTCTTGCTTGAGACGACACCGCCCACTTGGGAATATTGCTTTGACGTACGTAATGAATATACTTTCCTACTACACTGCGTACCGTAGTAAACTACTTATTCCTACTTTGTTTTATTTTAAAGATGGTGGATTACCAACATATGGGATCATTCTCATTGTTATTGGTGGTGTTGCAATACTCCTGTGTTCTGTAGTAGTAATATTTAAGGTTTTAAACCACTGCCAAAAACCAGTTGGCAAGGTGTGATTCATTAGCACCGACAGTTAAAGTTCATCTGCTATTATAAACATTTTGTATTTAATTAAAAGACAGCTTATAATATCCTGGTCTGAAATTACTCTAACTGAACGTAATTGTTCAAAAGCGTTATTATAGAATAGTTGTAGACGCTGTGTAATCTAAGCTAGAAACGTAACTGCATAATAATTATAGCTGGTTAGTTTATTTCAATAAAACTCGCATTAGCCTTATTTTGTTATTCTTCTTATCATTTAATCCCCAAGCCACGCGCGTTGACGATGGTACTTAGGGGCTGTTTATATGAGAGGCGGGACGGGACGTTTGCCGGCGGGACGGGACGGGATCCCGGCTTGTATAAATTTCTATTATATTTATCACCGGATGTTTATATGGATGCCCGCGGGACGTTTTTCGTCCCGTCCCGGACAAGCGGGATCCCGGTTTGTGCAACCGGGATCCCGCTTCAACCGGGACGTTTTCTTCCATGTAAACACTTGTTGCCGGGACGGGACGGAAAGCGGGAGATTTTGGTATATTGAAATGATTAGGCTTAAATTAAACGGATTTTTCAAATAACGGTTAAAGCAACTCAAACGTTGTTAGAGAAAATCTCGTAGTTCAAGAAGGAGTATTATTGCTGCATCAACAACCTTTCGTTTACAGTTATATTGTGATCTGTCACTTGAAAAATTATGTGATTTTGCTAAATCGTGCACCGTGACTTATTTCAATACGTCAAAATTATCCCGCCTCACATCTCGTCTCGCGGCAAAGCGGGATAATGTAAATAGCTCCCAACCCGGGATGTATAAATCGTCCCTTCCCGGCAAACGTCCCGTCCCGCCTCTCATATAAGCAGTCCCTCAGTAATTCCGCTTGACTATTTACACCCGGGCCCCGGGGGAAAGGAACAACATGAGCTCCACCTTTGAATTTACTATATGAGTAAATTCTTAAACACGTCCGAATTTATCATTATGAGTTTTTCATGTTTTTTAAAAAAATAGTTTTTAAAAAAGTTTTAAAAAGTTTTAAAAGAGTTTTGAAAAGCAAGAAAAGTTTAAAAAGTTAGATTTTTAAAAAAGTTAAAAAAATTTAAAAAGTTAAAGGGGTTAGTGGTTAGGGGTTAGGGGTTCGGGTTGGGGTTAGGGTTAGTGTTAGGTGCTGCGAATTTATTATTATGATAAATTCAAAATTTGCCGCGAATTTATCATAATGATAAATTCGGACGTGTTTAAGAATTTACTCATATAGTAAATTCAAAGGTGGAGCTCATGCTGGAAAGGAAAGCACATTAGCGAAGTCTAAAGTTCATCAATAATCGCGGGCGCATGGCTACGCATCTGTTTGCCAGGGGTGAAGGAGGTAAAGATTAAAAAAACATGCATGACGAAAGCTTTCACACAATAAGTTGTAAATCACCTTTTTCAAATTTTAAAAAAAGTATGAGAATTAAATCCTGAAGTGTAGGGTAAGTTTGTTTTTACTGTTTATGATTGTATGACTTTGCTGTCGATGCAGTTTTCGCCAGAAGGCTTTAATTGGACATGTATACTGTAGGCCTATAGCTTTCCTTTCCATTCTATGCGAAAGTTTCTTTGAATTAACTTTAATTTAATAGCTCAAAGAAGGAGAAAATTATTTTCAAGTGCGACATGTATGATTTAAATTTATTTCATTTCAAAGTACGAGTAATAATTTGAAGAGTTTACCGGCAAAAAGCAGTTAATTTCAATGAACATTTAAATTAAAAAGGTTTCCCGACTGCGTTAATTTCCTGTACAAGTTTACATTATAATATAGCAAAATAACAAACCTACTTTATATATGTCAGAAATCGATAGTTCTGTTGTTAAAAGTGTAAAACAGTCATTTGTTTTTGTCGTTGTGAACAAAAAATTAAGAAAATTATTATCGTGACGCGAGCAACGCGAGCCTGCTTACCGTGTTGGCGTAATTAAAGTACTTTGTTGAAACAATGGTTGGGAAAAGTGGGCGAGGGGTTGTTGGATGCATGTATATTTCCAGTAACATTACATCATTGAGCATGCAAACCAATGAAATGAATATAACTGGAACGCCACCTGCAGATAAACTGCCTATCTTTTTCTTAAAGCCAAATCTGACCGCAGACACGCGCAGGGTTCGTAGTCTCCAAGACCAAAACAATTCAAAGACTTTCAAAGATTTTTTCTGCCTATTTTCAAAGACTTTTCAAAATACCTTTGAGAGCAATCAGCTGTCGAAAAATTGCGAGTGTAAGCACCATTTTTATCCGGTAATTAGTCCCGCCACATCACATCCTAAAATCCACCTTTTCGTCGATATTTGCGAAAATCTTGCTTCAATCAATCTATTTTAGTAGCTATAGGGAATCGTATAATCAAATACTCACTAAAGAATTTAAAGACTTTTAAAGACTTTCTTCGCTTTTTCACACAATTCAAAGACTTTTCAAAGACCTTAAAGACCTGAATTCAAATTTAAAGACTTTCAAGGATTTCAAAGACCGCTACGAACCCTGACGTGTGTCTGGGGGTCAAGTCCTGCACGTTCATGCCTCGCAATTCTCTCGCGAGACCATGCAGTTCAAGGAACGAGCATATGCCGATATTATTCGGAAAAAAAATTAAAAAAAAGTTTTACCTGAAAAATGCATTGATAGAAGGCTTCAAAACGCAGTTGAAAAGCTTTTATTTCGTAAATTTTAAGCCGGTTTTCAAGCATAAATATTGATGTTGACGGATTGACCGCGCTCTTCGCATGTGTGAAAAGTCTGGGTTGGAGGTAGCATTCCAGTTTTACTCATTTCACTGATGCAAACAGAGGGGAATACTCCCTGCGCATGTGTACTCTATTTCCTGTAGTCTTTTTCGACTTGAATGTTGGGGGAGCTAGTATAAAACCATCATTTATATAAATAAGTTCTCTGAAATAATCAGGTGCCATGTTGTGAATAGCTAGCATTGAAAGTCATTAACAAAATTAATTTAATCCTATATTTGATGGCGATTTGATGGGTATAGCCAATGTAACTGATATAGTACAGGAGTTATATGACAATATTTCAATAACGCGGCGAGTTCGTAACAAGTGTGACCGCCGTGTTTTGCACCCTTTGTAATTGTTTCTGTTTCGAGCGAGCTACAGCCCTAAAAACAGGACAGCCCGCATGCGGATTTTGGAGAGAACCGGAAAGTGTGGTTTTGTTTTCAATACGAAGAACTATATGTTTTAATATTAGTGATAATATTTACCATCTTTCTACTCTAAAAAAAACCGAAACAACAGGACAGGCTCACGAAAATTGTGAGTAACTGACTTATCATTTATAATCATTCAGTATAACCTTACACTTTATCAAGTAATTAATTGTAAACATATTTTTGTTTAATATAGTTGACTTCTTCGTCTTTGTCACTTTGTGTCGTATATTTGACACATCGATAATATATAAGATATAAAGTACAAAAACAAGTGTGGCCTACGTCCTTTGGAAAGTCCAAGTAAAGTAGCACTTCGAAACGAGAGTGCGAAACAGTTCCATTGCGATTAATGCTTCCTCTTGACTTAGCATGCATACTTTCTGATTCAAACGACAAATAAAGTGGAGTATCGTCAGCATATACGCATGATCAATAGACAATTAACGTTTGATAACATCAAAAAGCTTGCTCGCATAGATAGTAAAGAGTAACGGACAACGGTCCTAGACAAAATCGCCGTGCCCGTGGGACACCGAAAGGTACATTCACTCATACACTGGCGTCACATTAGTATTTATACAAGAACTTGTGGTAAGAGCTCGACAACTGGCCTCTGTAGCTCAGTTGGTTAGAGCGGTGCACCGGAAACGCGGGGCCACAGCATCGATTCCTGCCAGAGGGCCATTGGTTGCATGTTTCGCAACTGCTCCAAATTCCATTCGAATTTTCCATCTACAAATCTCTTGAACAACACATCAAACTATCTGACATTTTCCCATCAACAAGAACATGACCTTAATATGTTGACAAGTGATCACTGTCCAAATAATCGATATAGTCAGTGGAGTGGGCATTGGATCCAATTTACACTTTTTTATTATGGTTTAGCACATTATAATCCAAATTAGATATGTCATCCTTTCATAGTTGTCCATTGATAACTTTGTTACAAAAAAAGGAAACAATTTGATACCAATAATCTTGCACACACTTGAGTGGAAATGTAGAATGCCGCCCAGCCCAAGTGCCTCTACATATAGTAAAGTCTGTCTTTAGTGCCCAATACAGGTAAATGTCAATTTCACACAAAAACAATTTAATATAGTTAAAACTGCTAAATATATCATGAACATAGTATAATCTAATGCTTGTGTGATGTTACTCTGAGTGTATATCCACACTGGGCAGACTTGCAAAATATGCCTGGCCACGGTGGGATTCGCACCTACGACCTTTGGAATACTAGCCCAATGCTCTGCCAAAGGTCGTAGGTTCGAATCCCACCGTGGCCAGGCATATTTTTCAAGCCTGCCTAGTGTGGATGTACACCCAGAGTAACATCACACAAGCATCTTATTCACCTGAGTACATTACACCAACACAGCATAGTATAATCTAATTAGTACTGGTCAATCAAAAACAGAATTATAAAACTTTTTTCTGATAGACCAATCAGGTGAAAGCTGGATTTTGGCTTTTTTACATGTGGCCAGAAATGCATTTGTGTCATGCCCTTCTTTTCCCTTCCATCCACCTGCATTTAAGGAAGAGAAAATTTGGCCTGATGCTACTCATGTTAGTCATGTATATGTTCGCATTTGTAACATCTAACAAATGAAGACTATATTTACAGTATCAATACATGAAATTAATGTGCTATATTAATGTGCTGCAATAATAGAGTTATTGTTTTTGCAATGCTTCTACTTTCTCAGCAAATGTTTTTATTTGTTTTGTCAATTCATTTTTCAACTGCGTTTCCGATGCTCTAGGATTCTTCTTCACATATTCTGCAATGTTTTTGATGGTTTGTTCCTAGAAAACATCAAATTTAAAAATTGATATAAAATTACTGCACAGTAAATATGTATGCTAAACTGCAAATTCCACAAAGGGCGTAAAAAAAACCCCTGTGGTTCCGGTTTCATATCGCGAAAAAATTAGGGTCGGTAGGTCGGAAATAATTTTTTTTGAATATTTTTTTCACGGTTTTTTAAATAATTAGTTTGACAACAAACGCCATTTTGGCAGACAAGGGCGGATTTTCATTTTTTTTAAAGGAGGGGTAGAAAAAATTCTGGTGGGGTGCAAGCGGCACCACTGAGCGAGCTTCGACAGGGTTTAGGCGTTAAGGCTAAAGACTTTCACACTAAATAGGAGGGGTGAAGCAAAATTTTGGTGGGGTTGAACACTTTATAAGAGGGGTTAGAGAGATTCTAGGAGGGGTTTAACCCCCCCTAACCCCTCCAGTAAATCTGCCCATGTTGGCAGAAGCCCACAACCACCCGGAGAAAATAGGGTTGCACGGTCAATCGCGTTGAAAAAATAATAGGGTTGGCAGAAAAAAACAGGGTCGGTTGGGAACTGGAACCACAGGTATTTTTTTACGCCAAGTGTACGCATGCATAAGCAGTTTGGGGTCTGCTAGTATCTTTACCACTAAAATTATGTTAAAAAGTAAGTATTCAGGTGCAGAAAGGTTGCTTTTAAAAACAACTTTAAAAATGGCTTGCACAAACAACAACATCAAGTATACACCATATCCCATCAGGTCATTTCAGAAAAGATCCACACGTCGAAGGTAATTTAGTGCTTAATTTAATGGGTTTAGTGTTTTACTCGACTCGCCAGTTTTGGATGGGATGTAGCAATTGCAGCTGACTTTTCAGGTTGGCTGTTATAATTTTTTCTCACATATAGAATTTCAAACACGTTTTTTCACTAGTTCGGATTCACCATAAATTTGAATTTGGCGGCTCAAGGACAAATTTGACCAGTGTAATCTTTGCAGTGTTTCAATCTCGGTGTTTCCCAAACAATTATACTCTTAGGGCCAGTTCATATGAGCTGGGCTGATTTGCAAGTGGCGTGATCTCACCTCGTATATTTGCTTTTATATGTTTTTGAAATTTGATTCACATGAGAACTGCGTTGGCCCGGTTTGCCGAGCTCCCATTTGAGCAAGGCGAGATCTCACCTTCCCGGGCTCATGTGAACACACTTAGCAAAACTATGAAATTATGTCACAACGCATGCTTTATTCTATCTAGAAAGCATCTAACTAAGTACGGGTACATCTAAGAATTCAAAACAAAAACTAAACTATCAAAACTTCCAAAGCAGTTTCCGACAATAAAAATAGCATTTTTTAAAATTAAAGCAAATATCGCGTTCCCGCCAAAAATTGCGTGAGAATTCTTATGTTGCTTGCCGGGCCAGCCCATCTTATGTGAAACAAATAACAACTTGGCCCCGCAAGCAAGCTAGCCCAGTTTAACAGGCCAGCTCGGCTCGTATGAACAGGCCCTTAAAATGAGAAATCATGATATTAAAACAGGGACAAACCGACATAGACTGGCTAGTGAAACAAAATTGGTTGATTGTGATAATTGTAGCTGTTAATCGGCTCTGCTGATGTTTTGGCGATCATCGGCTCATCTCTAGACAAACTCATGAAAACCTAGCCCTTCAAGTAGGCTCATGCACACACCCGCATAGAAACACAACAAAATTGCAACTGTAAGCAAATTTTGATCCATCAAATGACAAATATTTGATATCTGTCAAATTTACCACGGCAAGTTATAAACCAAACGACGGCTATGTCAAGATCAACTTCATAATCTTTAGACTCACCCTGAGAACATCAACCTCGCTCGGTGGAGCTTTATCTTTCAGTCTTTGATAAATTTCATATCCTGTGCGGCCAACAAGATAGCTATGGTACAGGTTTTTGCCCTCTTCTCCCCCATTTAAAAACGCAAGAGTAGCAAGCTAAATGTGTGGAAAAGCAAGAAGGATTAATAAACTTTGTTTAGAAACAAAGAAAGATAAGATTATGCGGCTAGTTCGCTTTACCTGACTCAATAGATCCGGTGTTGTTAATCTCCACTGATCGGCCATGATTTTTCGTGTTTGGTTTTTAACGGGTCACGTGATTTCTTCTTGCGACAATGCTTCCACTTTGAAGAAAAATTTCGAGTTTTTTAAAGACTTCGAAATTGCACTCGTCCGCTTCGGGACGCAGTTCATACTATTGCCTATGCAAAGTTCCAAATGCTCACTACTATCACATAGTAAACAATTTAACTCAAAAGATCGACTTCGACAGTCTGATTGATTCTCCTTCATTCTCCTATAAACATGTATACTCAGTGACGTCATGCGCATGTTCAATCGTTGGCAAAAACAACACAAACTTTGACAAGATTTTGATGGAAAAAAGTTGCGGAGAAACTGTTTAATATGCTGGGAATAAAAAGTAATAGACAGACTAATTTGATAATGTTCTTCAGCATCTGGGCTGCTGGATTTGCCATGAAAGACATTGTGTTCGAGTGGATGTAG